TAATCTACCCTGGAGGAAAATTCCTTCCCGACCCCAAATATGGCGATCAGTAGAACCCCGAGCATACAGGCAAGATTCTCCAGCCGGACCCACATTTTACCAGCGATGGCACGTTATTGCCGAATTGACTAAAATCAAGTTATCCCATCAAACCATTCCCTCCATAAACTTATCTAGCCTAATCTTGAAGCCAGAGAGGTCTTTCGCCCCCACCGTTTCCCTCAGAAGGCTGTTCCAAAATTTCACCCCTCTGACGGTTAGAAACCTTCGTCTAATTTCAAGCCTAAACTTCCCCACGGCCAGTTTATATCCATTCGTTCTCGTGTCCACATTAGTACTGAGCTGAAATAATTCCTCTCCCTCCCTGGTATTTATCCCTTTGATATATTTAAAGAGAGCAATCATATCCCCCCTCAGCCTTCTTTTGGTTAGGCTAAATAAACAGAGCTCCTCGAGTCTCCTTTCATAGGAAAGGTTTTCCATTCCTCGGATCATCCTAGTGGCCCTTCTCTGTACCCGTTCCAGTTTGAGTTCATCCTTTTTAAACATGGGAGACCAGAACTGCACGCAGTACTCCAAATGAAGTCTCACCAGTGCCTTGTATAATGGAAGCAGCACCTCCTTGTCCCTACTAGAAATACCTCGCCTAACGCATCCCAAGATCGCATTAGCTTTTTTCACAGCCATGTCACATTGCCGGCTCATAGTCATCCTGCGATCAACCAGGACTACGAGGTCCTTCTCCTCCTCCGTCACTTCCAACCGATGCGTCCCCAGCTTATAACTAAAATTCTTGTTAGTCATCCCTAAATGCATCACCTTACACTTCTCACTATTAAATCTCATCCTATTATTATTACTCCAATTTACAAGGTCATCTAAGTCTCCCTGCAGAATATCCCAATCCTTCTCCGAATTGGCAATGCCTCCCAACTTTGTGTCATCCGCAAACTTCATCAGCCCACTCTTACATTCGGTTCCGAGGTCAGTAATAAATAGATTAAATAAAATCGGACCCAAAACCGAACCTTGAGGAACCCCACTGGTGACCTCCCTCCAACCTGACAGTTCACCTTTCAGTACTACCCGCTGCAGTCTCCCCTTTAACCAGTTCTTTATCCACCTCTGGATTTTCATATCGATCCCCATCTTTTCTAATTTAACCAATAATTCCTCATGCGGTACCGTATCAAACGCTTTACTAAAATCGAGGTATATTAGATCCACCGCATTTCCTTTATCTAGAAGGTCTGTTACTTTCTCAAAGAAGGAGATCAGGTTGGTTTGGCACGATCTGCCTTTCGTAAACCCATGTTGTAATCTGTCCCAATTGCCATTTACCTCAAGGTCCTTAACTACTTTCTCCTTCAAAATTTTTTCCAAGACCTTGCATACTACAGAAGTTAAACTAACAGGCCTGTAGTTACCCGGGTCACTTTTTTTCCCCTTCTTGAAAATAGGAACCACATTAGCTATTTTCCAGTCCAACGGTACCACCCCCGAGTTTACAGATTCATTAAAAATTACTGCTAAGGGGCTCGCAATTTCTTGCGCCAGTTCCTTCAATATTCTAGGGTGAAGATCATCCGGTCCGCCCGATTTAGTCCCGTTTAGCTGGTGAAGTTTGGCTTCCACCTCTAATACTGTAATGTCAATCCCCCCTCCTTTATTCCCCTCTGTCCTGCTCTCTCTATTCCTAAGCCCTTCATTAGCCTTATTAAAGACCGATGCAAAATATTCATTTAGATATTGTGCCATGCCTAAATTATCCTTAATCTCCACTCCATCTACATTCTTCAGCGGTCCCACTTCCTCTTTCTTTGTTTTCTTCCTATTTATATGGCTATAAAACCTCTTACTATTGGATTTAATTCCCCTCGCAAGGTCCAACTCTACACGGCTTTTGGCCTTTCTCACCGCATCCCTACATGCTCTGACCTCAATAAGGTAGGTTTCCTTGCCGATCCCTCCCCTCTTCCATTCTTTGTACGCTTTCTGTTTTTTCTTAATCGCCTGTTTGAGACTCCCGCTCATCCAGCTAGGTCTAAATCTCCTGCCTAATAACCGTTTTCCCTTTCTCGGGATACAGGCCTCGGACAGCTCGTGCAACTTCAACTTGAAATAATCCCAGGTGTCATCTGCCTTTAGATCCTTAAGGATGTTAGCCCAATCCACTTCCCTAAGTAGTTGCCTGAATTTATTCTACGAGATCCTGACCCTCAGAGCTGACAGCACTGAAGGCAGGTGCCTCCAACCATCCCAGCACCTCAGCCATGGCTCCTGGGGAGCGCAGAGGCAGGGACCCGACCTCCTGTACCAGGAAGGTCTCCTCGGCACCGCTCCCCTCGGCACTGAAAATAGACCAGGTGCTGACTGTGCGCTCACCCTTTGACCAGCCACTCTCCCCACCTGAACTGGCTACCTTTACTGACAGCGAGCCTGATACGCAGCAGCAGCCGGAGTTCTCCCCACCTGCCTCTCCTCCTCCACCGGAACCTTTTGCACCTCAGGTCATGGCTCACAACCACCAGCCTCAGTTTCCCTACTTCGCCCCCCCCTCCCCATGGGCGGCACCTAACTTTTGTTATACGATGCCTTGGCCTCAGTGGTACCCTTGGCCAGCTCCTACTGCCACTCGCCCTCATGCTTCTTCCACCAGACCACACGCTCCTTCTGCGCCTCTATCTCCAGCTCCGTCTACTTCTAGAGCACCTGAACCCCCACTCTGAAGAGATGGGCTATGGACCATACCCTGATTCACCGACTCCGAACTCTCCATCAGCTCCAGACGGAACCCTCATGCCTCCGCTTCCACAGAATGTGGACGACTCTAAACAATTCCAGGAACTTTTCAAGAGGGTGGCATGGACCCTTACAGCAGAACTTGAATGGAAAATACAGGTAGTAGAGATGAGATACTTTTGTAAAACCCTGGGCATCTCCTACTTCGACCACGTCACTAATGAAGAGGTCCACAACATCATCACCCAATGCTCTGGTCATATGAAGACCTCCTGCTGACCATGAAGGAAGCGCAAGCGGAAGTGTTACGGCCATGTAACAAGATCTGGCCTATCCAAGATCATCCTCCAAGGGACAGTACAGGGAGAGAGAAGAAGAGGTAGACAGAAGAAGAGATGGATTGACAACATAAAAGAGTGGACAGGAATGGACTTAGCGGAGATTCAAATACTGACACACAATCGTCAGGGGGCAGACAATTGGTTGATTGCTTATCAATGATGGTGCCCCAACGACCAAAGTCGTTATGGGAGTGATGATGATAGACAAGACAGATTGGATACTCTTACTTGCTCTCCGTCATAATGCAAGAACAGAGTACATTTGGTGAATTTAAAACTGATAAAAAGAAATATTTTTTTTTACACAATACAGTAAAGCTTTGCCATCTGGCATGTTAGGGGAATGGTAGTTGCCAGTTAGTCAAAAATTCTGGTTAACTAAGAGTTATGCTTACCAATGGAATACCAATTTTCAAAGAATTAGAATGCAGTAAGTGAATAAAGTATAAAGTAGTATACAATTACTCACCAATCCAGTAGTAGTACTGCACTGCAGTGTGGTTGGTTTCTTAAAGCACTTGGGTGTATACAGGTGAAATTTTCTATACAGTAGGTTATCTTATGACACTACATATCACTATGGGCAGCGCATAGCGTACACCCAGATCACTAAAAATACACTTAACACTAAAACTATACTGAACATAATTTAATCGTTGATGATTCAGAAGGCACTTCAGGATCTTGCAATGCCTCAGGGTCATCATTACCAACATCAGTTATCACTGTTGATGTAGAAGGTGTAGGAGATTGGGCTGAATCTGTAATGACCCTATGACACACCCTGGAAGCTGCTTTTTTGAATAAATCCCTGATACCAGCTTGCTTACTTGTCTTCTGCCTCTTTTGCATAAAAGTTGAGTGCAGAATGTGCAATTGCATAACCTCCAGGGCAATAGACTAGTCCCGGTTACTAGATTGAAGATCTGTATTGGGAGATATTAGAAATGCCGATTAATAGAGCTTTCCGGTTGATAAAGTGCCTGATAACACAGATTTTACTGTGTATATAGTCAGTCTGTGGAGCTCATGGCCGTGTGATATCACCTAAACTCAAGCTTAGGGTTAAAAAAATGATTAGACATTTAGATGGATAACATCCACTGTAATGTTATATAGAGGGGAAAAGATCTAAACCCTCAAGCATCAGTACACAAGCCAATGACAAACAACATTGTAAAAGTTTTTATTAATCACTGCTGCCTTTCAGTTATGAAGGGACAGAGACACAGTTTATTTCTGGACTGGTATGTACTTGTTGCAAGAAACGTTGCAAATAAAAGTCCACCATTCCTGTTTGTTTTTAAATTCATTCTGCTAGTGTAAAATCTCCATTTTATAAGTGAAACTGCACATCTCATGTCTTTCTTGTCTCACAACATATGTTATTAACATAGTCGTATTACAATGTGGTTATAGTCAGAAAAGTGACTAAACTTAGCACAGTCTTGCTCAGTAGATACATTTCCTGAATGTATTTAGTTGTCGTCATCTTCCTTTTCTTTCCTGCATTTTACTTATTAGCATTGTGGAGCTGATACAGCTATGAGAGTGTGAGTTGGATTATTTTCTCATTCACACATCAACACAAATAATATCCTAGCTTCACTTGCAGGATTCCATTGCTGCTCGTTAAATGTGAACCAGAAACAGCACAGCTTATCTTTAAGACCTCCTACTAATTTTGCATTGCTAGCAATTAGAAGATATCATCTGTCTGTAAAATGCACAAATTTGATATGGAAGTGTCTTCTATCATACTCTAGCCATGTTTTTAATTCTTTCTTTGAAATGGTGATCTATATGACCAGACTCCTTAGGCAGCATTTTTTAGACTGAAATAAACTGCTGAATTTCATTTAGATCTTTTGGGAGTTAACCTACCAAGCGTCTTACAATCATTTGCATTTCTTGCAGGGTATTATAGAAAAAGCCAAGGTCAAAGGAATTCCGATTGTCATTGATGCTGTAAGTATTTTTTTTTATACCATTTATTTGTCTGACATTTAAAAAGCTATGAAATAATTTTTTTTTTAATTGTCTTGTGCAGGATGGATTGTGGCTCATTTCCCAACAGCCCTCTCTTATTCAAGGTTACCAGCGAGCGATACTTACTCCAAACTATATGGAGTTTAGCAGACTTTATGAAGCTATGGTGAGCTGCTGATTAATTTTTTGGTGATACATAAGTATGTATTTGTTACAATCTCAACGTATATTTTTTGAAAAATGAATCCAACACTTTCATATTGTTCCTTATCTATGTAAAAAGCATCCTGGGGATAAGTAAATCTGCATGTGATAGTTGTCATGACCACACTGGATCATTGCTTGGCACATCTTTAAAGCAATCAAAAAAGAGAGACGCTTTTGAAACAGTTTTCTTTTTTGGATGAATGGAAAGAATATAAAAAGTATAGAAAGACTGAATAATAAATCTTTTTTCATAGACTTAAATTGTTTGGTTTTGCATTAATGTTAAAATGAGTAATTCTGTATGGAATTCTTGTATTATAGCTTAGAGATCCTGTGGATAGCAATGATCACCATGGATGTGTGTTACGGCTCAGTCAAGCCATGGGGAATTTGACAATTGTTCAGAAAGGAGAAAGAGATCTTATTTCAGATGGAGAAAAAGGTAAATGAAGTCTTCAGCTGTATGATTATTTTGGTTTTTAGTGGGTTTTTTGTGTTTGTTTTTGTGTTTTTAAATTGTGGTCCATCTGTAGCTGATTCATTTGATTCAAGGATTGACTGACACATTTTTGCACAGCACTTCAGATGTCTTTTGAAGCTTGATGCTTAAAAAAGTGGGTGTGATTTTTAGTGGCTTTGATGTGCAAGTCCTTTAACTTCCCTGTTTCCCCTCTTTAAAATAGGCATAATACTTATCTACATCACATGGGTGTTGAGAAGCTTAATTTTTTTGTGAAGTTCTTTAAAATCCTCAGATGAAAGGAGTGCAATTATAAGTTCAATGTATTAACAAACTAGTTCCAGATGTATTTACTCAAGGGAAACTTAGTTGTTTCACTACATATTGATGTGACTGAGGAATGAAGATGTGTTGAATGGCTCCATCAACTGCCTGGTCACCTGATATTATCCATCCTCTTATATAGATCTGCGAGCTCTTTATCAACAACGCTACAGGCAGTGATATACATCACTTATGTCTATTAGACTTACTGTACATGCCACATACTTCAGACTTAGCAATATTTTTGCTAAATTCTTTGTAGATAACAGTTGCCCCTTTTAAAACTTCTATTTTAAAAAGTTGTTAAATTACTAGTTAGCAGTTTAAAAAAAGGAGTTGTTTGCTTGATGCCAAGATTTTCCAGTAATCAATAGAAAATTAAATCAAACAATGCCGTAATGCCCGTGTGACTGTGACACCATGTTTTACATAACAAATAAGAGATAGCTGAGGTCTACCAGGAGCTGATATGAACTACCAATCTCCGACATGTGTATATGCCACTTTAACAATTATTTTATATATACACTGTCAGAAGTCAAAATATCCTGACTTCCAGTGTATGGCTGTCCCATGGGTGTGCTGTTAGCTGCCAACAGTGTTTTAGTGCAATGTAGGATTTTTGCAATATTTGTTTTTCTTCACTGCTTCCTTATTACATACAGGTGTTTTCCTGGATGGTGGAAAGTGGGGGAATAGTTCTCTGTTCTCCTTTTGAAAATTGCCCATGCAGCTCCCCACTCCTTGGATAAGTGCATCCTCAGAGTTTTCTAGAAGATTGGGCCACTCAGCCCCCATCCTCTCTCCTCACACAGGATTCAGAGGCCATAAAACAGGGAGTGCCCCAACTGTTCTCCAGTGCCTTTTGACCACCAGGTGTGCAATGAGCTCAGAGCAGATGTGGTGTCTTTTGAGGTTTCCTAATTGTTTCTCTTCTCTCCCCCCCTCCCCCCGGCTCTATTGAGTACTATTTTTTCTTAGTTGTATAGCCATTCATTTTCTTTTTCATTTTAAAAAACAACTTTTTTTCAATTGCCAGGCCATTATATGTGTTGTCTGAGGCCCTGCTGTGTTAGGTTGCTTCCCTTGTTATATTGGTCTCATCAGACCATATATTCAATATTTTCCCTGTCTTGGGTCCTTCGACATCTCAGGCAGCATTGTTGATGTTGCTAAGAAAGCAGTCTTCAGGTCCTGGGCTTAATACAGGGGTATGATGTCTGTTACAAACGTCCATGTTTGTTTGTCTGTCATGCGTGGGAAGAGGTTATAACCAATACAAGTATTCAGTTTCCAAAGTGCATCTCAGACTCCTGTTGACAGAGGTTCTTTGGACTCAGCCACCTGAGTCTGGGGACTTCTGGCAATGTTAAGAGGCATTGTGATGCCACAGAACTGCTTCTCAAAATTGCACTGAGAGAGGAGGTACCGGTTGCTGCTTTTGTGCTGCAGCTAAGGACCAATCTCCATACCATGTCCCTCCAAGCTCTTTAGTCTTTACTTCTGCTGCTTCATCTGTAATTGTGGTCTCTTGTTTGATGTCTTTTTTTTATCAGATGAGACAACACACATGATGATTCTAGTTTGGGGAAAATCCATATCATCGGATTAGGAAAGTGTGCCCTGGGCACAATTCCATGTTCTGAAAGATTTTGTACTCCTGCTGCCTCCTTTTTTTTTTTAATTGCCGTTTTCCAACAATCTTTATCCCTTACCTTTCTCCTTCCAGGCATCTACTGCTTCAGCCTACGCATTTAGCACACTAATCCTTATTGTTTAAATACTGCAGTTTCCAGACTTCATCCTTACCTCTTACACATCTAGTGAAAAAAATTAAAAACTAAATCTGAATATGCTACAGAAAAGGTAAAAAAGTTGGAATTTTGAAGATAAAGCTTTCAGGCTGTTTTGTGCTTAGTTGGTGCAGAGGAAAGCCTTGAGCATACAGCTGTCTGTAGCAGTGAAAACTATAGGTTGATGAGCATTATTTTTTTATCGATTGATTACATTGGCTAATTGCATACTTCTGTTCAAATGATTGTAAGGCAAATATAGTCATCACATGTAGCCTTTTTCTTTGGTATTTGAATCTGACTGGCAGACTAAAGAAGCTCAATCTATTTAGCTTAACATGGAGAAGACTTGATCACAGTCTATAAGTACCTACATGGAAAGAAGATTTCTGATAGTAGGGGCCTTTAATCCAGCAGAAAAAAGCATAATGAGGTCCAGTGACTGGAAGCTGAAGATAGACAAATTCAGAATAAAATAAGACATGTATTTTTTAACTGTAAAGGTAATTAACCATGGGAATAATTTACCTAGGGACTTCATGGATTCTCAGTCACTCGATGTCTTTTTAAATCAAGACTGGATATCTTTGTAAAATATATGCTAAAGCACAAACAGAATATACGGGCTTGATGCAGAAGCCATTTGGTGCAATTCTGTGGCCTGTTATTCAGGAGGTCAGACTAGATTATCATAATGGGCCCTTCTGAGCTGTGAATTGTTCATTCACATACATAGTTCTCTGAGAAACCAGTAATAATTCTCTACTGTTTTTTCTGGAAAGTAAGAGGAGTTGTAATGTTTTTAAAAGTCTCAGCTTCAGGTATGCACTGCCAACTGCCCAGTGAACATAATTGGCAAGGCCTTTAATTAAGTTTTATACACGTTTTTTTTTTCTCTTCTTTTGCAATTCTACATTATAGCCTGGTCTACACTTGTTGACTTCCTGCTCTACAAAGATGTGCCCCACCATTCTGTTGGTAGGTGATATCAGTACCATCACTGATCAGGGCAGGCGTGAGTACTCAGCATAAGGGGAAAAGGTAAGTCAGCTTTTATTCAATATGGCACAGCTCTCTAAGGTTTTCTTTTTATTATTCTTTGGAGAACTGGGCAATAATAAAGTGTGGTTATACCGGTTTTTGTTCCTAACAAGTTTAAAATTTAGTTAGGTCCTTGAAGTGTCTGTATTTTGACTTTTTTTTTTTTAAATTGTGTTTTTCTCCAGCCCTGTATCAGTTACTGGCTTCCCTCCTCAAAGCATAGCTTGAAAAGACACAGTCTCTGACAAGTAGCCAGCTAGCTTCTTCCCCAAGCCTCCCTCTGCCAGTAGGTAGCAGCAGCATGCTACCCTCTCCAGTTCCTCTCCTACTGCCTGGAGACATGTGTATGAGAAAGTAGGAAAGCATCAGGTGAGGGGAGTATCTTGCTATTGAACAGAGGTTAAAAAGCCACCTCCTGGCATAAGAGCCAGTCCAGTGCCACTCAGGCCTTGAATTAAAGGTCCCACCTCCTCCCCCTACTCTCTTTTTATGGCTGGATAAGTGGCTATTCAGCTGCTTGTTAGAGTCCCTGTCTTGCTCGGCTGCTTTTGCAATGTCCGAGCATCCAATAGATTCTTCTGATCTCTTAATCAGAGGACAGGATGTTTGTTCCCTTTCTGCATCCCCAAGCTAGACCTGATTGAGAGATTGCAGTTCCAGTGCACTGGTTCGATATACACTCTACTGAGCACAGCCTATATTCTCCCTGGCACTATTCTACACCACCTGCCATCAGAGCAGCTCCTCTGTTCCTGTCTCCATCAAAGAAACAGAGATGACTGGAAAATTAAAATCAAATTTGACTTTTATTTTTTTTTTATTTTTTAACTTTCAAACAATTGGTTTCTTACTCTCAAGGACCTAGCTAAATTTTAAGTGTGATTAGGGAATATAACAGTATAAACACCCTTTAAATAAAAGCCAGCTTACCTTTCCCACATCACTAGAGTGATTACTCCAACCCTAGTCATTAGCATTTATATCGCTCTTCTTTTGCATGCTGGGGCATGTCACCAGGATTCCTTTGTGGACCAACCTGCAAAAGAGAAAAGGTTAAAATGTTACTCATTAGTATTAATAGTTGCAAGGTCAAATAAATGTATTGGGGATTTCATTCAAATTGAAATAACTTTCTTAAAGCTGAATCTTCCATTTAAGGAAGGAAAATGGTCCTTGATAGCTATCTGAAGTGGCCAAGTAAGATTTGTGTGTGAAAACTGATGTTGTCTGAGAGAAACTTTTGGAAGAAATATAATTCTGTTTGGGGCCAGACAGTATGTGAGACCTGCACTTACAGCACCTTTCATCTGAGGATCTCTGATTACTTTAAGAAGGTGGGTAAGAGGCATTATCCCCAATTTGTAGATGGGGAAACAAGCCCGGAGAAAGTTAAGTGACTTGCCTGACCTATTACAGACAGGAATTAGACAAGCATAGTCAGGAATATAACTCTGAATTCGTGTCTTGGTCTACAGCCTCGTTATACATATGTCACTTTAAATCTTTACACTAGTCATTATCTTTACCAGTGTTACTTAACATTTGGTCATAGCTAGAACTTGCCCATATCTCACATTTAAAATAGGAATAAATAAAAATAAAAAAACTTATGAACATGAATATCTAAAATTAACCTAATCATTCTGATTAACATTTTATAAATCAAGCATTGATGGCATACTACGAATAACCTGAGTTTTGCTGTGTTGAATATTTCCATGCATGTTGATTTTTCTGGTTATATCATGCCCATAATAGCAAGTGCTGTAAGTAAGACTGCTTGTTTAAAACCTACTGTTTTCACATAACTTCCTGATTTTAGGA